TGTGCTCTCAAAACTTCCTGCTTGAAGCACATCCATCCCTCCTGAACCCCCTTGTTTTTAAGGGTTGTTTCCCAGGGTATGCTCTGGACTAGACTTCTGAATAGGTCAAAATCTGCCCTCCGGAAGTCCAGCGTAGAGGTTTTATTGTTGGCTCGCCTGGAATCTCCAAGTATTGAAAATTCTATTATTCTATTATATACACTCAGGTTCAGGCAGGAATGCCCAGCACCTCCCCCAGGGCGGGGAGTTCCACAGTGGGTGATTGTGAGTTGTGGGTGTGAGGACAGAGAGATCCCCCTATCTCACAGACCTCTTAAAACCCAGCTTACAGACTGAGGGGTCAGGTGTGCTCTGAGCAGCTGCTGCAAATGGTCGACTGTTAACAGTTTCTGGGAAATGCATAGAGGGTGGAACTGCTCTAACTAGGAGAGAGTACTTCTCTTGGCAGTGCGAATTGTGTAACCTAAGTTAATTTGTAGCTTTGTCACACACCACACTGCACGTTTCCCATCTCTACTGGGTAGCAAATACAAGGCCATGTTAGAGGGTTACAAATTATCATTTTCACAACTGAACAGGAACTTTTAGTTGTTCAGATGTTACTGAAAACACATTACACATTTATTAATTTTTCAGTACTGCAGCGTTAGTACAAGAAGATAACAGAAAAAAAAAAAAAAAGCTGGAATATTTTAGAGAAATAACTGTATATCAAAAGATACTTCACCAGGGAGGAGAAATTAACAATGTATTCTCTTCAATGTCTTTATGAAATAATATTTGTGACATAGGACAGAAAATTAATTCTTCAAATGGCTCTTCAAAGAGCCAGTGTGAATCCATTGAGGCAGATGTGCAAGAAAACTCTACTAAAATTTTGTCCACAGGCCATAACACAAATATAGTAATATTAATGGTCACTTCAGACGGCCCTGGGTAAAAGGTAAGTAAAAATAGTGCATTAAGGAAAAAAAAACCCACATCAGTGCAGCCAGCTGACACTATGAAAGGCTGCAAAATCCATTCCTGCAAATAAGCAGAAAACTTGACATCATATTCACAGTGAACAGATTCGTTCTACATGTAGGGTGACTACATGCAAAAGGTGCATAATCAGTAAGATCAACACCTGCAATTTTGGGACTACAACACCCTGATAATTGGTTGCTAGTCTCTGAATCTAGGGCTCCATGACATATAACAACTTTAACCATATAGCCTGGCACAATGCTTAAAGAACAGAAAAGTGTGTACTGAAAAGGACTTTTTAATATCAATAACATGTACAATTAGAGAAACCTGCTGACAAATGCAGTCATCTAAAGTAAGGTCTCCGTGGCCAAACACAACAGTGCCGTGGAAAAGGTTAAATTTAGAATGGAAATGCAGAATAAGGAAAAGAAAAATCTCATAAATCCTACTAACAAATAACAGCCACCTATACTGAACTCTGGGAAACAAAATTTCTGTTGTAATTTTAAAAACACTGAATATTTTTAATTTTACAGTTTTAGTCAGAATAAGAAATATGAAGCTCTGAAGCAGCATTAACTTATACAGAAACCAAATTAATCTTTTAACTCTACTATATCTTTTCCAAAAAGCAGAATTGAGAGCTGGCATTTTTTTGTAGTCGTTGCTTATTCAACAAAATCTTCCAAAGCTTATCCCATAGTGATTCAAAACGCTTCCTCAAAAGCACATGTTTAAACAAACATTTTTTTTGCTGAGATTTGGATCCAAGATTAACAGGATGGAGAATAAAAAAAGAGAGGAGAAAAAATTGGGGTATTTTTCAACAGTGACTAGAGCTTTGTTAACTCAAGGGTAAAATACATTCAGAAGACAGGTTTGAATAATAAGTTTAGATGATTACATTTTTTTTTGCCAACCAAAATGTTTTACTATACTTCATGTGCTAAGAGAAAAAAAATGGTGCTCAAGGACTGTCACTGCTTCAATGTTGACATCTAAGACAGTGCCACTGTTATC